GGCATGCCGCTTACAGCTCGCGGTCCGCGGCCTTGAGGGGCTTTTCACTGTCCTCATCCTTGCTGCTGGTGACCTTGCCACCCTTCCAGCCAAGCGCAGCGAGACGCTCAGTGAGGATAGGGTGGGAGTAGTGGTAGCTAGCATAAATCGGATCGGCGTCCATAGTGCTCAGGTTCTGGATCTGGAGCTTCAGGAGGGAGGACGCGAGCTTGTCGGAGTAACCAAGGTTCTGGGCAAATGTATCTGTGAAATATTGTCAGTAAAATCGAGGGTATATGTGATAGATCGAACGGAACATACCGGCCTCAAATTCGAACTTCCGGCTGAGGATGTTCATGAAAAGCTTCACGACAGCATCCATAGGAGCCAGGGCATCAGAGAAGAGCAGGAAACCAATCATGATAGGCTGTTCGTTGATGAATCCGAAGGACTGGTACAGCGACTTGTTGTTGACAAAGACGGAGAAGAGAGCGAATATGTAGAACATGTGTGCCTGCATTGCATAGTTAGTGATAATTCGTCAAAAGAGCAACTGAGAAAATTCGTACCTGGGCAATGCCGAACAGCTTGGTGGTGTGGCTGAGGCTCCAGTGGCCAAGCTCATGGCCCAGCACAGCAACAACCTCCTCAGGTTCAGTCTTCTCAATCAGAGTATCGTAGATGACAATGTGCTTCTTCCATGGCAGACCGTAGAAGTAGGCATTGCTGTGGGCACTGCGCTTGCTGCCGTCAATGACATGCAGCTCGGAGAGAGGGAAGTTGAGTCTCTTGGCCAGGTTCTCGACACCGGTCTTGAGTTCGCCGGGCTGAAGAGGCGAGAGCTTGTTGAACAGAGGCAGAATCGCAATAGGGTAAATAGTAATGGCGAAGACCTGGAGAAAGACACCAAAGAGCCAGAGGTAGTAGTAGAACGAGCTGTCAAACTTCTGGACAATTTTAAGAATGGCACTGATAATGGGAGTTCCCAAAACAATCCCAAGCATCTGCCCCTTGAGCATATCCGTAATCCAAAGCTTGACCGTCTGCTTGTTGAAACCGAACTTCTCCTCGAGCACAAACGTGTTGTAGTACGAGATGGGCAGCGAGAGGATAGTGCTTAGAATGTTGAAACCGAAGAAGAATACCAATGTTTGACAGATCTCGCCTTGGAACCGACCGGGGAGGTACCGAGCCAGCACCAGACCGCTGAGGCCCCAGATCTTGGGGAGAACATCGCCGTAAATGAATGCAAGGTTTTGGATTTGACCGTAAAGACCGGAAACGAAGCTGAACTTGGCCTTTGCGCGACCGTATGCCTGTGATTATATTTCAATGAGCTTCTGTATACGGTATAATGCTCTGTCACCGGGTTCATACCTGACTCTGGTCAAAGACCTTCTGGGTAACCTCCCCTTCGAGAACCTTGGGAGGCTTCGTCCGTCGCAAAAACTTGTATTGCCGAAGTGAGAGAAAGCCTTCAAGGACGAACTGGCCCAATGAAAAGCCCACAAGCACGTTCTTCCATGGGAAGAACGGGCGATCGAGCAAGCGCGCCAATTGCTGCAGGAAGACAGTTATTAGCGACGTGTCCACGGTAGAAAGCATATTCACCACGTAAACATGATGATACCTCAATCAAATCAACTTACCTCGAGGATATACATGATTGAAATCGCGCAACTAGGCGAAGAAAGAGGACGTTGTTCAAGGCAGAAGATGCTACTTTGTTATTATCGGCAGCCTTAGTCAGACCTCATGCACGACCTCGGAACCATTCTATGGCCCTGGGGGCCTAACGCAACGTCGATCTCAGGAATTGGGCCTATTAATTAACTAGAGTCTCGTTTGTTTCAGGCTGGATATCTAAGGTGCGAGATGAGGAATTAATAAGGAGTCGATTAAGTTTTAGTCTGCCAACATTCGAAGGAAAACAACTTGAGCTGACGCATTGCTGAAGTCTTCAGGGCTGCTATAACAGTCGATCAGCTCAAAACTCGGATATTGTAGATGTCGTCCCTATTAATGTTAGTATCGCTTGAGTCTCCCTATATATGTACATATAGCAGTACCTGGTGGTTTAGGGCAGGGTCATCCCGTTTCGAGGAAATACCAAGTGGTGGTAGTTGTCGTAGTCATTAAATATATACATCCGGCGTGCGGACTCACTATGTATCTAGTGAGAACATCTACCCTCATCTGGAAATGGGTGTAGGTTTTATTTTATCAAACGAAAAGCCCATCTCTAAACCGATAAACATGCAGAAGCTCTTAAATTGTGCCGGCCCTAATTTCTCTGCATTTTAAACCACAGACCCGTACTTATAGGCCTATCTACATAAGATCCGATGATGCAGACAAAAATATGAGCAATGAACAGGAAACCTCTTTGAAACAACTCCCTCGTACGATGGAAATAAAAACCACATATCTTATTCGCCGACTTCACCTGCATCCCGCTCGTCGTCCGTCCCTCAGATCAAACCGTAGCACGCAGTCGCGGACCAAATAAAAGTGGTCACTGACATGCATGAAGCAGGTAAACCGATCAAGGTGGCGACAGTACAGGACTGCATGTCTCCTCCATCTTCTCTATTCAGCCCGGGGAATCAGTTAAATGACGTCTTTAGCTTTCCGACTCGTTATGACCATAAAACTTTTTTTGCAATCATAGATTGCAAGACTCGTGTTCGAGGGTCGGTGGGGTGAGATCGTTGTCCGGGGATATAGGTAGCAAGTGTTATGTGCAAATCAAATTCCCCAGCATAACAGACCTGATTCCCCAAGCTCCCCATTTCGAACTGGGAAATCGTTTAAAGGGTTGCTTTACTGCTGCACAGGCTCGAGGGTGTTACCACTGCGAATTGAAACAGTCAGCATTTGTCACTAGAAGTAATACCAAACCCGTAGACTTACGCAACAATGTTGGCCCATCCAATCAGACGCCAGTGTTTCTCGATTCTGCGACTGATGGCAATCTTCTCGCCAACTTCCGTGCAGGCGGGGCTGGTCAAGCTGAGCTTAGCGGCATCGGCCTTGACACCGAGGACCTTAGCACCAGTAGCCGTGGAACCGATGTTAACCATCAGGACTTCGTTCTTAGCAAGCTTGGCAACCTTGGCCTGCTTGCCGTCGGCGGTCTTGACACCCAGAAGGCGGCGGAGCAAGAAGTAGTTGACCTCAATCTCGGTGTAGATAGCAGGAAGACGGCCACGGTGACCGAGAACGAAACCGACAAGACGATCAGCACGGCAAAGCGTGGGGTCGACGCGGGTACCAACACCGATCAAGCCACCAGGAACAGCAAACTTGAGGTCATTGTGCTCAGCGAAGAGAGACACAATGCGAGAGAAAATGGGACGGCACTGGATCTTGCCCTGCTCGTCCTTGGTGACGAGACCGGGGCGGATCTCGATCTCATCATTCAGCTTTACAACACCGGTAAGGATGGAACCACCAGCAACACCACCCTTGAGCTCATCGATCTCGGCACCAGGCTTGTTGACATCGAAGGAACGAATGATCATCATGTGAGGCGTAGCCTCGAAGTTGCGAAGAGGGATAGGGATCGTCTGAACAAGTGCCTCGTTGACAGCATCGATGTTGTACTTCAGCTGTGCAGAGATGGGGATGACCGGGGAGCCATCAGCAACGGTACCACGGATGAACTTGAGGATAGACTGGTAATGCTCGAGGGCATTATCGCTTCGCATGAGGTCGACTGTTTTATTTTCAAATGTCAGCGCTTCGTTTCGGCAGTTTGCAAGAACTATGATTTTACCCTTATTTTGGAGAATGACAATGTGGTTGAGCTTCATGATCTCAATAGCGGCCAAGTGCTCTGAGGTCTGGGGTTGAGGGCAAGTCTCGTTTCCGGCGATCAGGAGGAGAGCGGCATCCTGGCAAAATATGTTAGCTTATCATCAATCCCTTGAGATCCTAATTGCTGCGGTGGGGGATGGAACCTACCATGACCGCGGCTCCTGAAAGCATAGTGCTCATCTGTGCAAAGCTGATTAGCATCAGCTCTCAAAGAGAAGCCGAATTTCCCAAGATGCGCAAGAGAACGGGTACTAACCAGAATATCGTGACCTATGATTGAAGATTAGCATTGTTCCAACTTTGGACAGAGAGGATCTAGCGAACATACCAGGACAGTCAACGAAACTTTTTTTTTGGATTAAAGGTTAGCTTATGTCTCATAAATAAAGGAGGGGTTTCCAGGTCGAAGGTGGACTGGGGATTGATGATACCTGAGATGGCGCTGTATAAGAGGTTAGACGAGGACTACTCGAAAGGCTCTGAGTTGGACTTCAGAGGGGAAGGAGCAGGAGTACATACCAGCAACCGGTAACGACCTAGGCATCCTTCACGCTCACATGGAGGGTCGATTTCCTTCTCGCTCTTGAAACTCTTGTAACATGTGGGCCGAGGGCATTCGGGGCTGTCACACTTGTAGATCTTCGCGTTGGCGTAACCAAGCTTAATGGTAATGTTGCGCTCAAGCTCGTTCTTGAAGCGGACGGTTTGAACCTCAGAGATGGCCTTGACAACGGTGGATTTGCCGCTAAAATCACATTAGTATGCATGTAGGAATAAAAAAGGCGAGAGAAGGTGTCTAACTGAGCGACATGGCCGATCGTGCCTGATAATCACGTCAGTAAATTTGTTATACTAGAAAAGTGGAATTCAATGAATGGAGTATATTTTTGAACGCAGAAGCATCCAAAGACTAACGATCACATACCGATGTTCTGAGTAGCTTGCCGGGCAATGATCTCAGGCGAAAGAGGCGACAATTTTGACAGGTCGAGTGTTTCCGGGTTAGGCTGCTCGGGGAGTTCTGGGCGCTTCGGTTGAGGAGCAGCTTCAGTCTTCTTCATGGCAGACTTGAGAGGCTTCTCTTCTTGCTCAAGGGGCTCCTGGTCCTCGACCTCTCCGCGGGCATTGTGGGCATCGAGCATAGGTGAGCCGGGTTGGGATCCCTCGTCAGAGAAATCACCGTTGGAAGCCATAATTGCGAAATAGAATAGAAAATCTACTCGCGATCAGCAGCAGCGTTGAATGAAAACGCAAGTGGTTAGACGAAGCTTGTGGGACGGTGGTAGGTGGAAAGTCGGATGAAAATTGCTTCCCGCGATATGATATGAAAGAATGTAGGTGGGGGATTGTGTGTCGTGGAGAGCCGGGCGGTGTCTGGATGGCAACTCTACATTTCCTCTACGTTATGACACTTTTAGTAAGTATACTAGATAATATTATTCAATTGGGCGTTTGTTTCAGTCATTATATACAGTTCCAATGCTGTGTCTTGGTTTATTGTGGGTGACTCACTTATCTGCCTAAGAAAATCCCTGACAACTACACCATCGGGTGCGCTATACTGGGTTATAGAGCAGTGATGGTAGTAACATACCTTAAATACTTCTTAGGTGAGTTGAATTTCCATATTTCAAAGAAGAGATATTTCAAAACATAATCATAATTATTTTCTAGGGTAATAATCTCAGGTCCTTTTAATACTCATGATACATTGGTTGCCACTGAGGATCTATTTGACAGCATAAAGGGTATAACAATTGAGAGCAATGAGATGTTACTCATCATCACTATCACTCGATGACTCCACTTCATCTTCAGAGTCGTCTTCAGAGTCTATCAGTGTAGACGGATCCTCCGCAGGCAACATGACGAAGGCAGCCATGCATGTGATGCGGTTACCAGTTTCATTGGTGGTCAAGAGCTTCCCAATCTGAGCCGTGTCCTTCTTTTCTTGCTTTGCTGCGGAAATTTCTTTCCCACCAAAATTCCAAACACGGACGACTCCATCACTGTTGCCGGTAGCGACCAAGAAGTCGTTCCGGAATTCCTTTGCTTGACCTTCAAGAGTGAGGACTTCGAAATCCTTGATGCGGCCAGGGAACCCAGTTTGCTTTCCACCAAGCTGAGCAAGAGGGGTAGCATGGGGAATTGAGCATTCGGTATCATCCTCCGCATTTTTCAGTTCTTTGGTCGAATAGAAGATCACTCGGCCATCCTCTGTAGAGACAGCCAAGAAATCTTCCTTTTCACCACCCTTCAAAGGCAGAGAAACATACTTCATCTGGTGAAGTTTGCTCCGTGGGCTAGGAATAAGTCTGCATCTTGGAATCGAATCCTGTGCTAATAGTCAGAAATTTAATCAACGGTATACAGTCCAGGTAACTTACGATTCCGAACACGACTGCACCCCATTCGAAAGCAACAGCGAACTCCTCTCCCTCAGAGTCCCATGCAATGCGCCGGCCTTCTCCGGTGCTCCATCTCGACTCCTTGACGCCTTGTAGGACTTCCCTGGTGAAGTTCAACACACCAGCCTTTCTGCCCGTTACGAGATTCCACAATCTCATACATCTCTCTCCTCGCCCAATACTCAGCATCAGCTTCATACTAGGATGTACTGCAAAGTGGTTCACTCCAGACGGAGCAGCTCCGGGAGGCGCCGTGTCACCGCTTGGCCGTCCTTGAATTTTTGGATTTGGTGCTTTGATAGTTGATACGACAGTCCAGTCACGGGTCTTGGAGACGGAGATTGTGTTGTCCTCTCCGGCCGCGAGTAACTTCGTTCGCGAAGGGAAACTCAACGAGGTAATACTGGCAGTGTGGTGCAACAATGATCCTAGCTCACGGTTCCTGGGGTTTTCGAGGATTTTGTTTCCGGCGAAGGTCGGCACGGACGGATAGTCTTCATTCACGGCAGGGGGTGCAGCGGAGATCGAATACAAGTTGATGCGCTCATCTGTACTACCACTGGCCAGCATCACCTTTTGCGCATCGACAGGGTCGGTGGGTTTAGGTAGTGGTGACAATGCTAAGCAACGAATTGCAGATCCATGGGCTTCGAATAAGAAAGTATCCATGCATTGGATGGCCGGGAAGTCGGCCTCAGCCTTTGATTTCAGGCTGGAGGCTGGGATACCGACAGTGAAGCCATGAAGCACCCGCTCATAAGAGCCTGTGACAATCTGGACAGTGAGAGCTGCATCGGGAGTCTCTGAGGGAGTAGGGACGGATTTGGTAGTCTTGGGAGGAGTACCAGCTGCCTTGTCCTCCTTGGGGGCCTCGGTTCTCTTGCGTTTCACCATGATTGCTCAAATAATGATTGTGGTTTTTTATATTGTAAATGTGAAAGCTTGATCTGGAGGGCGGACAACTTTTTTTCTTGATTTTCTGCCGGCGGTTTATCGGCCGCCTTGATCGGAATAGATGCCTTGCTGTAATGCCTTATAGCCATAAATATGAGGTGTCTAATACTATATGCCTGAGGCCTCATATACGCAAGCGGAGGACTACCATCCATTGAATGTCAGAAAAATAATACAGTGCGTTACCAGTTGATGAGAGCAGCCTTTTTGAAACACATAAAGTCTTTGACAACCATATAATAGCTCATTAAAGTAGATATCATTCTTGCATCCCCAAGTTGATAACGCATTTTATTTTTCTTCCATTAACAAAGGGAATTTTTATGAAGTACCAGGTACCTGGCCAAGCCGTGTATTTTTTATAGAGGGAGCGAGTAACTGGTTGTACCTAAACCAACATCTTTCCCGTTCTTCCACATTTTTCATACCGCCCTGTAACCTCATTTTCACCCCCTTCGAAAAGATCCTGCTCCAGGTGCTTTTCATCGCCTCCCACCCTCCACCCATCTTTTTCATCTTTTTCGAGCGATTTTTTCCATCTGGATGACATCGCTCGATCAGTTCCCCTTGTTCCCGCGTGAATCGGATGCTGCGTTCCGAAGCTAGACTCCATGCTCCGTGACGAGCTCCTACGATCTAAAAATGATGAGATCGCGTAAGTATTAATTTTTCCGGCGACCGGGATTCCATAGGGAAGCCTAGAAATGATGAATTTGTCGCTAATTTGGTGGTTAGAAACTGTTTGTCGCGCAGAAAGCGCAAGCTCAGCGCATTGTATCTAGCCACGGTCGGGTTTGGCGCGACCGAGGACGCTCATTACCACCAGAAAGAACAGGCCTTCCTCGACGCCAATGATCTCTCCAAGTAAGTCCAATTGCCTTGTTAATCTACCAGTGGAATTTACTTTGCATTTATTTATTTCTGTTTACAATTTCCTAATGCTGATTCCCTATCTAGAGGTCGTTATTTCAATGAAGCTACTCTTCCACCGCCAACCCATGCGCGCGCGCGCTCGCCAAGTCGAAATGCAACCCCCCCGACAACCGCTGCCCCCACCAGTGCCAAACCTATCGCTGGGATCACTTCACCCTTAACCGTCGATGGCAGAGCTCCTCATGCGACCGAGCCTCAACAGCGCGGAACGCCCGTTCTTGACCAACCTCAGCCCGCGACACCTAATCTCCCGCCTACCCCGGTGGATACAACCGGAACACGCCGGCCATCAGTGCCAGTCATCAGCCCTAAGCTGCCAAAGGATCTCGACGTGCCACCGATCGCTGAGCGGTCCCTCGACTCGTTGCGCGCAGACCAGAAAGGTAGTGTACCGGTAACAGAAACGCCGCTTAGTGCCCACGACCATGACGGAAATCAAACGACGATCTCCCCCCACTTGTCGAAGCCAGCTGCGACTGGAGTTGCGTCACTGGAGATTCCCTCCGACTCTCTTCGAAAGAAACACGAAGCACGAGCCTCTGTTACCTTGGGCCCATCTCAACATGCACAACCACCATCACCTGCCTCGTCCATTGACCCCTACAATAATAATACACCCGTTCCAGTTGCCGCATCACCAGACACTAGCCCCGCGGAAGAAGTGACTGAGGATGTTGGGACAATTGATCGCCCAAAGCACAAGCATGACCGATCTGCCCATGCTCGCCCGAGCTTAGTTCCCTTAACCCCAGACGAGCAATTGCGCCTTGAAGAAGCTCAGTCGAAACCTGATAAACCCTTGAATGATGTGATCGCTGATCTACCTTCGTCGAAAGAGGTGATTGTAGAGAGCGTGGACAACGGGGCCGATACCGATCGCATGGATATCGACCAGGAACCTGCCCCCGTCCCCTCAGAAGCGAAAACACCACAAGAACCACAGCCGACTGTGCGAGACTCTTTGTCGCCAACTGCACAAGCTGAGGCCGTTGCAGATTCAGCTCTCGAGACTCCTACGGCCAAAAAGCTTTCTATCACACCTACTCAACCTGGCTTAGCCCAACCAGAGCGCATGACCACTCGGGTGTCATCAGGAGCCATCCGACACAAATCTGTTTCCGAGATCCTCGGAGAGACCCCAAAGAGTGCCACTCATGATAGAACCCACCTAGTTACCCCATCTGATCAAGGCTCTCCTGATTCTGTCGCACGAATGCGCTTCAAGGACCGGAAGGAGCGGGAGAAGGAGAGAAGCCGACTCTCGACGGTCGTGTTTCCCAAGCAGCCAGCTCTGCAGGAGAAAGCCGACTCTATGGACCTGACGCACCGGGACATGGATGCAGTTGCCAAGCTGAATGAGGAGCAAGACTATCTTTTCACATTATTCTTGAACAGAGCGTACGCTCCTCCCCGGGGAACAAACCTCAATACTCTGCTGGCATCCGCGCATAAGACCTTGAGTACTAGCAATCATCTGCTTGAATACCGAGAACAGATGGATTGCCGTACCCTCCGGCGCATCTATGAGCTTCAAAATGCCAACCGATGGCCATTACGACAATTAAAACGCTCTGTTGAACCTCCCCGCCAGGGCACACATTGGGACGTTGTTTTAGACCACATGAAGTGGATGCGAACCGACTTCCGGGAGGAGAGAAAGTGGAAGATTGCTGCTGCAAAGAGTTGTGCCGATTGGTGTGTAGAATATGTCAACAGTGACGCGGAACATCGGACCTTACTTCGTGTCCAAGCAAAGATTCCAACGGCAACTCTGGCAGAAAAGGATTCCTCTAAGGCGGTTCTTAGCCCACCCTCCGAGGACGTTGGTGATGAAGTGTTTGGTGTTTGTCATCCCACTCCGGATCTCATCCCATCCGCCGAGGAAGAATCAGTCAGTGATGGGTACAACGATGAGCTTCGACACGACATTCATGATACAGTTGCTCCTGCGGCTATTTTCTCTCTGGGTTCGGATGAGTTCAACTTCTCAATTGATATGACCCCCGCCGCCGAAAAGCTGTTAGACGAATTGCCGATATATGGACCACTCCAGATCGCCCCTGGCACGAACGGACCGGCATTCAAAGTCTCCCCTGATACAGTTTGGAAAACGGAACTACTACCAGTGTCCAAATTTGCATCGACGAAGATTACCTTCCACGATGACGATCATCCTCGCAAGCGGAGCCGATATGACTACTCCCAGTACGGCAATGATTCGGATAATCGGATCACCGAATTGGCACCCGAGCAGACGAACGTTGCGTTGTTCCGACCAGAGAATAAGCCAATCCGTGATCGGATTCACCCTGGTCATCAATTCCGGCCTCCGACTGAACACCCCATGCCATCTGTTGGTTTCTTTGAATCACGTTCGTCCTCGCAATGGACTTTCGCTGAGGATGATGAACTGCGACGTTTGGTCAAGGAGTACTCTTACAACTGGTCTCTAATTTCCAGCTGTCTTACCCCATCGTCACTCTTCACCTCTGGCGCCGAGAGACGGACTCCGTGGGAATGTTTCGAGCGATGGGTAGGACTCGAAGGCCTTCCGGCAGATATGTCCAAAACCCAATACTTCCGAGCTTACCACCAGAGGCTTGAGACTGCCCAGCGCACTGTTTTGGCCCAGCAGCAGGCTGCCCAGCAACAGCAGCAACAGCAGCAGCAACAGCAAGGCGCCAATGCTCAGCCTCAGCCACCTGTCCGCCGGAGAACTACTCAGCCTCTTCGGGTTGACCGGAGACGATCTTCGAAGCATCTTGCTCTGCTTGATGCTATGCGAAAGCTGGCCAAGAAACGGGAAACTATGCTTCAGAAACAGCAGCATGGTATGTTTGAAATAGAAGCAGGTCACATCGTGCCAAGAACTCAACTGACATTTCATTTCTTAGCTTCCCACCTTGCTTCATTGCGAAAAGCCAACGAGGCTAACCAGCCCAAGCCTCCGATCTCGTCACCGGCTGAGTTCAGCCGGTTGAAGTACGACAGAGAAATGAAACTGCAGGAAAGGCAGGAACAATACCGCCAGCAAATGATTGCGCAGCAAAGGGTGAGTGGTTGTTAATGTTCCTACCTGAAAGCACTGTGGCTTATCCCCCATATAGGCTACTCTCGCAGCGCAGCGTTCCGGCCAAGTACCTAACCAGCAGCAAATGATGAATGCGCCGGGGCGTAACAACACCATACCCCCGACTTCCAATCCTAGCCTACCAAGTGGAACTCTGAACGGAATGACAAACGGCATGCCCCCTAGTACCGGTGTCAATCAAGCCCGCCCTCTCCCAATGCAGAACATGCCTAATGGTGCACAGCCAAATGGTCAGATGCCTAATGGAATGGCCATGAAGATGATGCCGCAAGGTCAAATGCAGCAAACACCAGGGGCACGACCAGGCTTGCCAATGCAAGCCTCTCCTGATAACACGCGCGTGATCCGAGAAGCCAATCGATTGCAGGAGCAGCAGCGTCTTCTCCAGTCTCGGCAACAGCAGCAGCACCCCCAGCAGGGTCAGCAATTCCACAACCCGCAGTTTGGGTCTCAGGGATCGCCGAACATGAACATGTCGAACGTTAATGGTACTCCTAATAACCCTGCTATGATAGCTGCCCTCCAGAACCAAGGGGGAATGCAGAGCCCGTCGTTCCACGGTAATACACCACAAGGCGTCTCAACTCCATCGCCTCGTATGGGCCAGCCCAATCCTCTGTCAAGCGGGGTTGTACCCCAAATCAGCACTCTTCAAAGCCAAATTCAACGCACGAACCCGAATATGCCCCCCGAGCAAGTGACCAAGCTGGCCACGGATCGACTCAACCAGTATCAGCAGCAGCAACAGCAGCGCTTGTCCCAACAAGCAGCGATGAATGCTGCTGCAGGTAGCATCAATGCGAATGCCGTCCAAGCCAACTACCAAGTTCCCCACGAGGCTAGTTTCCAGGCTCCGAACGGTGGTTCTGCGATGCAGGTCCCTCAAAACCAAGGGTTCTCCCCAATGATGCGGGTCCCTCAGCCCGGCCAACAAAGCCGCGTTGGCCCTACTAGCTCGCCTGCTATGAACGGTGCTGCACCCCTGCCCAGCCGCAGTGCCACTCCTCAAAACCAGCGCAGCGGCAGTGCGCAAGCTGGCGCCGTCCAAGCTTCCAGCAAGAGCCCGCACGCTCCGGCAGCCCAGACTGCGACCAGCTAGGAGATTGCTCAACTCGTCCCTCCCCTCCAATACCTTTACAAATCCGTTTCCCCTCCCGCTTTACGTTCGTCTGTACATACTTACACCAACCCTTACGCTGATTTACTTTTTTACACTTTGTCCTTCACCGTTGACTCGGATTCTCGCGCTACGCTCACCCCTACACCCACACCTACCCCTATTTGTTGACCTCTACCGCATGCGTGTTCTTTATCTTTTTTGGCTTGTTGAAAAGATGTTCATCATTTACTTGAACTTGATGTGCACTGGCTCTTTTTACACCAGTGCTGCTCTGAATTCTGGGCTTGGGCTTGTATCATTGGGAATAGGCGAAAACTGGGGCGGACGGATTACTCTAAGAATCGATATGAATTGTATGATTAGTTGAAGTTTTGTTTTTCATGGGCTTCCTGTGTAGTTACATACATTATATTTGTAGAGTTGTACCTGAGGCATGGAAGGTAGTGCTATATGACTTGCTTTCTCCAATTTCTGTCTTAAGTGGCTGCAGAACTCCCCATGGGACCCCATGGAATGATATACATAATATCCAGCTCTGCAATGTCTCATTTGGTAGCTATCTGGTCTTTCCGTCTTGATATGTTCTATTTAAGGGATAACAGACATAAAACAAGAAAAGTAGACGTTTATTGTACCTGTCTCTTCTAGCTACTCTCAATCTTGAGATTTGAGACAACCCTGCCGATTAACTACCCCAGGGCTTTCCTGAACATTGCGATAATGCTCCAAGCTAAAACGCAACTGACCCGTCACTTCACTTGCCTTGTCTAACCAACGACCAATCAAACACCCTAGGTGGTTTTTGAACTGGCTTGTGAACTGGGTTGTGCTTTTTGAGACACTTTGGCTTCTTCTTTTCATACATCAGCCAACCGGACACCGGCTGAATCTAATCAAGTCCAGTTTCCTTGGTGAGAATGGCCGGGTTGCAGGGCTGCATCTGGTAGTAATCATCCACGAATTATGGAAGGTGTCGCCCGTAACTATGGCATGCAGAACCATCTAGCATTGCTCCACTCGAAGTGGCTTGTATGCTCATCATCCCGGCCAACATCACAGCATCGAATTTATGTCCCAGGTTATTAACTATAATCGGCACGGAGACATAGCCCAGAGGGACTTTATCTGTGTCTATGCGGCGTGACAAGGCCTGATCAAGCCCGAACTCCGTCTCCCGTTCCTGAAAGCCTCGCGAGCATGCTGGAAGAATCGATTCTGGGTATAGCAGCTTTTTATCATCACCCCAGAAACAAAAGACCGATATCCAACCAGTCAAATAGGTTGGTCCGCTTGCGCCGCCCTTTCTATCTACACGTTTGCTCCAGAAACTCGCTACATCCGGAGCTTCGGGGTTATCGAAGGTAGCAACAAAGTATTAAGCACCGGCCGAAGCAGTTGAGCAAATCGAGCAGGCTCATCTCCCAGCTGAGCTAGCTGAGCTAGCTTTGGTACCATGAGTTCCCAGTCCTCTCGCTCGCCGAGCAAAGTGACAGATGGAATTCCGCACCGTATAGTGAATTGGTATGAGAAATACTTCTGTATGGAGCCCACCATCAAGATAGCTGCCACCACTTCGTCGGACGTAGTGGTGGTGCTAAAGGCCGGCATGATCCAGCTCCGCAGCTCCGGATTAACCACATGCTTTTCCATAAGCTTGGCCATACGCCATGCCATTTCACCAAAGTCAACAGTTTCCATGGTTTCATATGTCATAATCTCTAGGTGATTTGTATCCTTATGCGAGACGAATAGATGGCGCAGTCCCTCGGCATGTGCTATGACGAAGAAACTAAGCTGTGATAGGATGGTGAACCACACATCTTCGGGCCGGAGCACGAGATTGTGATGATGACTATAGGCGTGGAAGACGGCTCAGACAAAGCCATTTTCGGATGCGGAGATGTGAGATGTGTCGAAGAAGTCTCTAGCAAATGAGTTCCCAATCAACCTTTTGCTGTCCTGTGTCCTTTTGGACAGGATTGTTCGAAGAGCTTTTCGACCTTGGCTACTTTCTAGAGTCCCCATCACGGCGTGGATGCTTGGCTGCGGTTAAAATGTTTGGGGAGGAGAATAGTGTCGAAAGCGATAGAGTGAGCGAGTGCGAGAGAAATAGTATGTAGTCGAGAGAATTTCGAGGAGTAAGGATTAAAGAGAAAATAGAAAATAGAAGTTTGAGAAAGATAGATTAGTTGTGAATAATGTTGAAGAGTGAAGCGAGAAGAGAAGAGAAGTGAAGAGGTGAAGATGCAGATATCCCTAAACTGCTTAGTACATAAGGAAGGTACCATGGACATCTTGCACTTGAACGTCAGAACGTCAGAGCCTCCTAGGATGTATCGTCACTCTTACGTCTCAATAGCAAACACTTGACTCTATTCTGACTATAGGCCCTAAGAGTAACGAAAAGACCCAATATAACCACCTGTCAGCCGTCAGTACTTGATCGGCATGCCCTCGCCCATCTCACATTCATTCAACAGCGCAGAATTCCGTTCTTCCGTAAGACCAGTCTTCGTTAGGCGACGAGCCTTCTTGATAAGCCGACCCGGATGATAAATGGTCAATACCAACATGGTAAAAAACATCAAAAAGGCATCAAAAACATAGATATAGACCTCCTTGCTGTTGACATCGGTTTTCTGACCGGCTCCAAATTGAATAGTCCGCACCAGGTTGCGCAGCATCAAAGCAAAGCAAGAAATGTAGATTGCCCACATGTATCGCTGCCAGGGTAGATCGGGATTCTGATTGAGAAGAGGTGTAGGCGTTTGCTGAAGACGTCGATGAAATTTGGCCGCAATCAGAATAAACCAGGCAAAGACAACCAAGGAGAAGATCAAGCCAGCCAAAACGACCTTTTTGCCAATTTTCATCACCTGCTCGTCCCCGGTGACTTGGACACCGGCACCTCCCAATTGTGTACAAAAGCAGAGAACATCGTTCATAACAAAGACGAAGGTGAGCCATTTGGGGCGCATGCTTGAAAGATGTTCAGCGCCGAAGGAGCGGATAATGCGGCCGAGAACCATGTAGGCGGTGGCTGCCACAAGAGGCGGTGCGCATAGAATGAGCATCTCCTGTAAGGACCATGACTTGATATCAAATCGAGACTGGTGTGACCATGCTCGGCCGTAGTAGCCGAATGTCTCGCCTGGTTTCGGTCATCGTTAGCCTTGATGTTTGCTCTCTTGTGGAGGGGGACTATCATCATACAAATTCCTCCTAGTACAAGTGGGATAAAATAGGCAGCACGGAAGGGAAACATCAATACGATGTGCACAAGGGTTGAAACCCCAAAGATTCCCATAAAGGCATATCCAGCCGTGGCAGATGGCGTGTAGGGGTAGAACTCTACCCAGGGATCAGTCCCATTTTTGCCGGGGTGAAAAGCAATATCCATATTATTGATGCCAACAAGAGTGCAGTCTTCTATTTCTGAGGAAAAGGTCTGATTTATAGAGACTTATAAATGCATCTCTAGGGCTATTTCTAGATTCCCAATCGGGAAATTCATGAACGAATACGTGATGTGGGGCATGGGGGTCCACTTGGATTATGCTTCTTTTCGTCCTATTATGCTTGTCTGCTCGGCATATTTTTAGAAATACAAGTATGTAATGGCGGAGAGAGATGAAAAGCCCGAAGTCGTGCTCTGCTGCTACCTAATAGATCTATGGATATCTGAAACAGACCTAAAGATAGTCCCGAAACGAATGGACTATACAAGACGGGACTACGTAACCGGACCGCGGAGCAGTTTAGTATTAAACCTGCTGCTTGGCCACTTTAGTGGTTCTATGTAGTTCATTGCTCTATTTAATTTAAATTCCCGAGAAGCGATGTTAACAAACTCAGTGGAGGATGAAAAAGGAAATCTAACTACGAGTACCTTCACATTTCCTGATTAGGACCAGATCATCCCGATGATTTTCACTGTCCTTTATGTAGCTGCCTAGGAGTGTAGCCTATTGTCTTTGGTTGCTTCGGATGAGTGGAATTCCCATCTCAACAAGGGCCTCGTGTTGGTTGATGTCTGTTGAGGTATTAGACGTTCAACAGCATTACACTATCATAATGAGCCATATGGATGTATCGTACATTGAGTTATAGTCTGTCTTGGACACTCAACTTCTGTTGAAAAGCAATACAATGAATATCCGTGAGCCGTATGTAGACTTGCAGCCCTGGAGAGTAGGTTGGATTACCGCCATACAAAATCTGCCGGTTCAGCCGCGCGCTTCAATTTTGCCACCGCCCACGAGCTCTCGAGTATCAATTGCTCCTTCGAGCTCTCTTTTCCCTAATAAGCACTCCATTTGTTTCAAACCAAGATAGTATCGCGATGTCTTCGCGCGACCAAGATGAGGTTAGGCAACCGCCGCCCAAACCAATCTCTCTATCTTTGTCCAGTTCGAACGGTCCTCCGAAAAAGACCGGTTTCAACCTCCAATCCTCAAATCGCGGCCGTTCCACAAATCCCCCAGCAAACGGTCGATCACTGCCTCGGCGACCTCAGCAGCTTGGTTACGCCGATGACTCCGACGAAGATGAGGCCCCTCCGGTCCACGAGGAAATCTCAGGGTTCGACACCCACACAGGTACCGCCCTTGCCGCGGACGGACAGGCAGTCGCAGACGCAAATAAGCCACTGATCATCCCCGTCACGAGCAAGAACAACTGGCGCGACCGGGCAGGTGTCAATGTGAAGAAAAGCAAGAAGAACCTGCTGCCCAGCGAAGTTCAGGCTATGCAGGAAGCGCAAAGGAACGGACAAGCACATCCCGGAGAGCCTACAGTAGAGACAGATACGCCCAGCACGGCTTACGGGTTGAGCTTTGCACAGAAGTCTGCAGGGCGGGCAGATAGTGGTACCGCAGTGAATGAAGATCAGGCCATGCCTGATGCGAAACCTGTCGAGACCAAGCCCCTCACCGACGACCAGATTGCCATGCAGGCGCTGATTCGGGAGACCAAGGGCGACGTGGAACGGAGGTCAGACCTTGTGATCGAGTCTGCTACAAAGGAAGAAGAACCAGTCCACTACAGCGAGCTAGGGTCTTTCCGATCAGATGTGGCATCCCGGCCTGAGCCTGCTAGTTTGGACGCCTACAATGCCATTCCCGTTGAGGAGTTCGGCGCCGCGCTGCTACGAGGAATGGGCTGGAAGGATGGTCAATCTATCGGACGAGGCGACTACAGCAGTGCCACAGCTGCAGAGAGGGCGAAAAACCCTCGTGTCCCAGAACGACGACCTGGGTTCCTCGGTATTGGCGCAAAGGATTCATCCGGCGGCAAGGGAGCCGAAGCCGAGCTTGGAGCTTGGGGAAAATCGGCTATGCGCAAGGCGTCGAGGAAACAAGGGGAGGAAAACGACAAGGCTGAGGGTGTGTATATGCCTATCACGATGCGGAATAAGAAAACCGGCGAGCATCTTACCGAAGAGGAACTCGCTGCCCTACAAAAGGAGGCCAAGTCTAAGCCTCCCAAGGAAGACAACTGGCGTGAGCGACGGGATCGCAATCTTGAGAAGAGCGGTCGGGACAAGGATCGAGACCGGGAATACCGCAAACGCGACTACGACGAGGAGGAGGATCGTTCTCATCGGAAGACTGGGTCCTCTCGACGTGACCGTAGTCGTTCTAGTGGCCGCCATTCTTCTAGTCATCCGTCTCGATATGACGACGACGATAGAAGCAGACGGGACGACCGTTCCTATCGGGATCGGGACCACCGGGATCGTCGCCGTGACCGTGATGATGATAAAGACGATCGAAGGAGAGATGGATATCGAGAGCAGAACAGGGACCGCAGCCATCGATCTCGAGATGAGAGATACAGCAGCTCGCGGCACTCGTCTCGGAATGACCGAGACCGAGACCGAGACCGAGATCGTGATCGCGACTATCGTCGGAGTCGTCGCGATGATTAGAGGCCAGATGTTTTGGCTAGAGGGATTAAAGAGTATTGAGGCCTTTGTACACGACAGATTGCTGCTACATATTCCCTCCATCTCGTTATTTTACCATGAGACCCAACCAAAAAAAGAGATACCCTGAACAATCAAAATACATGTAGATGGCTTTGGCCAAAGGACACTTTCCACGATACACTGTTCAATTCTGTAAAGAGATGGCTTTTATCCTTCCCACCCATGGTACTCCAAGAACGAAAGCGCCAAATTCAATGTACAAACAGGGTAAAAGACCAAAGCCAGACTATGCTTCCAACATAATAACGTCCTTCTCATGCTCTTCCTCGTCACTGATATCGCCGACAGTCAAATCACGCAGTCCACCAAGTCCAACACCACCATCCATCTCACCGAGAACCCACTCCACCAGGTAGCTGTCATCAACCAGCTCCTCAATTCGCCGGTAGTGCCTCTCAGTGTACGCAGCCAGCGCCTGCAGGATATCCTTCATACCAGCCGCGGCGCGGCCCTCCTTTCCACGGACGGACTGTGTCGCAAGCTCCACGAAAGTGGACGCAGGGTAAGAGCGGAACAGAGCATACAGGATGCGTTGTGAGACACGCGAGGTGCGTGCATTGGTGTTCCAGTCCCGGAGACGGAGCAGGAGAGTGCGCAGATTAGCAGGGTCCAAGTTCTGCAGGACTTGGTCGATGGACGGGTTACCGGACAGACTGGCTGCAGCACGCTCGCGGTCCTCAGCCGGGAGGGTTGGGTCGTCCGCGGCGTCGATGGCCGAGGTGAAGAGTGAGAGCAGTCTACCTGGGTGGTTGAGTTGCAGGGCCAGAGTGATGGCTTCGCGGTAGGCACCAGCGCGGATGTAGTTCTGCAGCTCTTGGTCCTGTTCGACGCGAGCAGAGCTGGCGTTGACAGCGGCTGTGTAGGTGGATGATGTGGTATCAGTCCAGAAGGTCACTGTCGCATCGGCGGAACCAGAGGCAATGGCGTAAGGGGTGGTGTTGAGCTTGGAGGAGGCTGGCTTCGCGTCTGCGCGTGAGCCGGATGGGGTTGGGCTGGCAAGCGCCCAAACTCGGTCGATGTGGTTGTCCAGGGTGGTTTCGAGCTCTCCTGTGTAGGGGGACCAGATCTTGACCAGGCCGTCTGCGGCAGCGGATGCGATAAGGGGACGGTCCTGGATGGCTTTTTTGCGTGCTGTTGCAGCCTCTTCGTCATCCTCGTCCTCATCCATTTGGTTGTCCGAAAGCTGGGGAGGTGGGAGCCAGAGGACTTTGAGAACGCTATTGGTGTGGCCCTCGAAAGTCAAGAGACAGCTGTAGTCAGACAGACTCCACAGCTTGACGGTCTTGTCACCCGAGCCTGTCACTGCTAGGCCACGGCTCGTGCTAGTACGTGACTCTGAGTTGATGATCGGTGTGCCTTGCGGGGCGAATCGCACCGACCAGACACCTCGCTTGTGGCCACGGAGGACGCCTACCGTCGAGCCTTCGTCGGCGGCCCAGATCTTCACGGTGCGATCTTGTGATGCTGAGGCAAACAGTTCAGATGTAGAATCGATATCAATGGCGTTAATATCCTTTTCATGAGCCTTGCGAGTGTAAATTGCCTTAGGATAGTGTGGCTTTTCTCCTGTCAGAGGGCCTAGCTTGCTTGTATCCCACCGCTTGATTGTGCGATCTTGCGAGCCAGTAATTAAAAATGCTGGCGTGTGGTTCAAGGGGTCGTTATATGCGGCACTGCCAACAGGGGGTGCCACGCGGGGAAGGGCGATTGCTCCCAACGACTCGGCGTGGCCAGTGAAAATAGCAAAGCAAGTATAAGAGGATGTCTTCGGGTCAATACGCCATAGACGGGCTGTATTATCTTTAGCGCCAGTTGCTAGCCAGTGTCCTGACCAATCCGCATCAATGCAAATGATAATATCGTCGTGGCCTTCCAAGTGCGTGACATCAGCACCGAAGTACTCCTCTCCCTGATTCGAGGGTCGATCTTCCGAAGGGGCAACCGAAACTACACGAATACTCTCGGTGTTAGTGGCTAAAGCAAGCATCGATCGGTCATGCCCAATGTAAGCCAGATCAATGATCTCGTCGTCATTACCGGAAATGCGGCGGATAATCGCCAGAGGCTCCAAAGTTGATCCTGGCTTATAATCAGAGAGCGACTCGAGCGAGTGGAGGCGGAGAGTCTGGTCCGCATGGACAGTGAGAACAAAAGGCAAACCAGGCGAATACTGGATAGCGACGACGCTTTCGAACTCCTCTCCAGCCTCTTGTTCCTCTGTGATCTCGCTTCCACGATTGCAGTCCCAAACCCGCAGTTTGCCATTTTCTCCACCGATAACGCACAGTCCGCTATCCGCAATGAAAGTCGCAGCTTCCACGCTCTCCAGAACCGGAATGATTCTGCGAGTCTTCCAAGTGCGCGCATCCCAGACGATGACAGTCTTGTCTCGGCTGGCTGAGATCAATGCG